CATCGGCAGAACACTTTTTGGGAAGTTTGGTGCAAGAGTGGTTGTGTTTTTCTCTGGGCTCATGTGACTCTGTATCCCTGGCTGTACAACAGTGTAACTGTGCCCACACAGGGCACATCTGAGCACTTGAATCTCTCTTCTCATCCTCAGAAACTACACTCACCGCTCTGAATTCTGCTTTTTTCAGCGCGCTGATGCCTGGTATTTTACGTGGTACTTCTCAATGCATTCATGCATATTTAGGCTCTCTGGTTATCACTCACAGCACACTTTGTAAAGCCAAACAAAAAACCCAAACCCAGCTACATCCTCCAAACACTGCTTCCCACTTCAGGAGCAGTTGTACCCTGAGGTACCCTCCTCATACTGAGGGGCACTGACCTAACAGGAGCCGGGTTTAATTCTGGGGTTCCTTAAGAAGGACAGGATAACGAGGATGTTATCAGCTCTCAGTGAAGTGCTCTGCCCTCATATCAGACTCTCTGATGAAGCTGGAGTTATCAGCAGTGGGCTGGGAATAAGGAGGGAGCTGGTGACTGAAGCCACGTGTCCTGGGAGCTGGGAAAGGAAGCAGAGACATGGACAGAAACCCAAGTGATGCACAGAAAGAAAACGACTGCCCTTTCTCATGAAAGGGCCTTTTATCATGGAAACAAAACTGGATTCTTTCTGCTGAAGGAGTGTAGTATTTTGCTTAAAACTAGGTTTTATAGTCACTTTGTTAATTATTCATCCAGATAAGGACCTACTTGTTGCTCTTTTTTTTAGCTTTGTCTCTTCTCTTTAGTACATTTTATTTATGTCTATGCAAACTTTTAAAAATATTTTAAATTATTATCCACTAAAATGGTTTGAAAATTGTTACAGCACCACCTTGCTTTGCACAACAGGTTTCTATAGCAGGCTGAGAACACCAGGAGAAAGCAAAGAACATCTCTTTTCACCTGGGCTAAACACTTGACAGCAGTCATAATGCTGTGTGAATGCCAGCTCCTTATATATTTCCTGGCACGCCTAGCACACAGGTAGAGTGTATGTTTTAGGAGGAGGGAACATGGAGTGAAACTGTGAAGCAGAGAGCATTCCTGCAGGGGGAACTGTGATGGAATGGTGGAATGTGCCTCCTGCAGTGATGGGAGGGTCGTGTGGTGCAGAGATGAGCACTGGTCACTGAGTGGGAGGAGATGGCTCAGGCTGATGGTTTTGGGTATTTAGAGCAAGATAAGTTAATATATGTTGTCAGTTTTGCATGGCTTGGGTTTTCCAAGCGTTTAAGGACTGCGTGGTGTGATGGAGTTTAAAGGTGGTAAGTACAGACTAAGGGATGGTTTGCATTCTAGGTCATTGTAGAGAAATACAGGTAATTGATATTTCCTCACCTAGTGACAGGTAAAAGTTAACAGGACCTGTAGTATTGGGGTTTAGTCAAACTTATTGTCGTATTCCTAGATGGAATATGAGAATGTCTGACTGTTGTGATCCTGCCACTTTCAGGGGCTTCTTTTTTTCATCTGTATTTGTGTAAACCCCATTACCTCCCTCATTTCCCAGAACTTTCAAACTCTTGGATAAGGAGTAGTCATTGAGCAACCTATGTAAAACTGGAAGTGAAAAGGGTGCAGAATTTTGCTTTGACAGAAACAGCAAAGAAGGCCAAGAGGAGATGGTGACTGTGTGGGGGTGCTCTGGGGACAGACACTTGGAAGGGGAAGTGTGTGGAAGCTCAAGGACAGGATTTGTGCAGGAACAAGTGGACGTGGAATATGAAGACGTCCCTTTGGGTGTTGAGTGGAGGCTGTAGAACATGCTTCCAGTCAGAGTGCTTGGGAACAAAAATCTGAACTGCTTTTGTGGGCCTGTGTGTGCTTTGAGGCAAGGGAATATGTAGAGTTTGTGATTCCAGGGACTGGACCCACTGATCTCAAACTGTATAAACTCATAACCTGTCTGATGCTTTGGGAGAAAGCGAAGAAGTGTGAGCAGCAGGCCAGGGGATTCTGACACTCTACTCCCCTTCTGGTGAGACCACACCTGCAGAGCTGCCTCCAGCCCTGGGGACCCCAACACAAGAAAGACATGGACATGCTGGAACAAGTCCAGAGGAGGCCACGGGGATGCTCCAAGGGCTGGAACCCCTCTGCTCTGGAACCAGGCTGGGAGAGCTGGGGGGTTCACCTGGAGAAGAGAAGGCTCCAGGGAGACCTTGGAGTCCCTTCCAGTGCCTAAAGGGGCTCCAGGAGAGCTGGAGAGGGACTGGGGACAAGGGATGGAGGGACAGGACAAGGGGAATGGCTTCCCAGTGCCAGAGGGCAGGGTGAGATGGTAAGAAATTATTCTCTGTGAGGGTGGTGAGGCCCTGGCACAGGTTGCCCAGAGAAGCTGTGGCTGCTCCATCCCTGGAAGTGTCCAAGGCCAGGTTGGATGGGGCTTGGAGCAACCTGGACTAGTGGAAGGTGTCCCTGCCCATGGCAGGGGTGGAAATGTGATGAGCTTTAAGATCCCTTTCAACCCAAACCATTCCATGATCTGCAATTCTATGCCTACTGTGTTCTCTGGGAACTTGTTGCAAGGGAATAGGGAAGGATATTCAGTGTACTGAAGACAGCTTAATAGATTTATATGGTGTGGAATCCTGCTCTTTTTGACCTGTCAGGGGAATAGTCACAGCCTCCCCAGTGCAGCATCCAGGAGGGGACAGCCCTGACTGCCAGTGCTCAGTGTGGGTCACACTTGGAGGGATAGCCCAAGTCTTGTTTGGAATATGTTTCCCTGGTCTGTAAGGGCCTGTTTCCATGAGCTTTTTTAGGACCTGGTTCTGTTCAGTAGTTTGCTGCAATATTCGTGTTTATGTGACTTCTGGGACAGACTGAAAATATCCATAAAGCAGCTGGTGCTCTGAGTCTTCAGAGCAGGGCTGAGGTGCTGGACCTGGGAGGGGTGTTGGGCCCTTCCCACCCTTGTAAAAGGGAAAAGTCGTTGCCAACTGTTCACCTGGTATTTGTTCCCTCTTAAACTTATCTTTGTTTTCTTGGTCAGACTCTGGTGAAATAGGGCAGGGTCCAGGTGCTGAACATTTTTCTGATTATTAAATTATTAATTTTCTTAAGGGAAAAGAATCTCTGTAGGTAAGTGGGTGTGTACCAACCAGATTTTACCTAAATGATTGACCCTGTCCAACTAATAAAACCAAGTGAATGTTAAAAAGAAACCACAAAAGCCATGCTGTGGGTACACGTAAGAAACATTGATCAGAATTTTGCAGACATTATCTGTGGGTCTTTATAGGATAAAGGTGCAGAAGTTGGTGTTTAAGATCTTTTATTGTGATTTTTTTTGTTTTCTACGTGGAGTTAAATCCTACTTGGCTGTCACAGGGTGGTTTGCCTTCAGCTGTGTGCAGTGTGTGGCACCATGAGAGGCTGGTGGGGATGTTTAACCCCAGGTCTGCAGGGGAACAGGACGTTGGTTCTGTGTGAGGGTTGAGCACAGAGCAGATCTGGCTTCTCTGAGAGCTTTGGCAGACAGCAAGAATTACCTGGCAGTGTTTATACAGGGGGTGCATTAGACAGCAGGCACTGGCACTGTTTGGGTGCAGATGAGTTACTGCTGGATTGGGTTTCCCAAGGAAGCAGCCAAAGGCAGAGGCCGTGCCAGGAGCAGTTCTGCAGTCAGTCTGTCACGGTGCTGTTGGCACCAACACTGAGTCCCTCGGGGATTTGAGACTCGTAGTCTTGATGCCTCAGCAGACTGGGGGTTCTTTTTTCAGTAGCTGGAGTTAATCTGCATTATCTCTTGCAGCCCTTTGCTTCAGTTCCTCTGACAGTTGTGCCAGGATATCACCATGTGACACCTGGGGGGGTGTATTTGGTGTTCTGGAAAGCATAAGGAGCCTTCCTTGGCAGTCAAGACCATTGCAGAGCCAATTGTGTGATTAAAAAAGGGCTGCATTTCACAGGAGACTCCTTTACTTTAGCAATTAGCTCTGTCTTGTAGTGTCCTCAAGCCTAACAACGGAGCTTAATAACTTAAAACTATTGTTATAGTATAGTATATTGTTAAAATAAAATAGCACATTTTCCTATGTATGTTTACAATGTTCTTTAGAAAATTCCATAGATCTGGCTGAGAAAAACAGAAGTTGCCTGAAAAACATGTCTTGGATTGGATTGGAGTTGTTTTATTGCACTGAGGCAGTCTTTGAAAGTATTTTAGTTATTTTTAGGTCTACAGTGATAAGAGCCTCTAATTGTTGGGAAATTCCAACCTGAAATGTTCTTAGTGTGTAGTGTTATAATTGATAGTAGCAACTGTGGAGGTTGGAGATTAAAGGAGAACAAATAAGTATCCAAAGAATCCAAATAAATATCCTTTGCCTTAAATGCTTTAAAGATTTTAATTATTAGTATCAAATTCCTTCTGGAAGAGTTAAGAGTAAATTTAGCTAAAGTGAAAGCACATTAATTGTCTGCATTGAAGAGAATTTTTCACTCTTCACTTTGGTGCTGAGTTTGGGAAACTTGCTGCTCAGTAGGTGTAATATGAAGGACTGGAAACTTCTTTTTCCCTTCTTGTCCCCAGGAGTGGAGGTTGGAATAACCAAACAGAGATGAGCAGCCTCGTGGTTTCTTACCTGGCACTTTCTGCTCTCTCTCTACAGGAGTTTGTACCAATGAACTTGGTTAAGTTCTTGCCTTTGTTCCACACCCATAAAGTTTACAAGGCTGGTCAGAGTTGGTGTTTTAGTGTTGAATTTCTTGCTGTTGGTGGGTGCTCTGTCCAACACCTGCTGTCTGTGGAGACAGAGGGATGTCCAGAGTGGAAGAGCTCCGAGTTACTCACGGTCTGTGTCAGCCTCGGGAAACCTCCTTGGCTTATTGAAATATTTGCTGTGTGGATTATGTTTATGTTGAATTCACTTCTCATTTGCATTTCCTTTCATTTTGATGATGGTAATGTTTTTTTATTAGGATTAATTTTTTTTAAAATGTTCTTCCCTGTAGGACACAGCTTAGGCTACGGCTTTGTGAACTACGTAACTGCAAAAGATGCTGAGAGAGCAATAAACACACTGAATGGCCTCAGACTTCAGTCAAAAACTATCAAGGTAGGAGTTTTTTCTATCTTCTCTGAAAATGGCATTGTAATAACTTCATTCTAGTGGTAAGGCCTGTGTGTTCCCAACAACAGGAAGGGTGAATCTGGGAGAAGAGTGTTTTTAAACAGCTTTGTATTCAAAAATTCCTTTTTTTTAATTATTCCCACCATTTTTACAGCAGTAGAGGGACCGTTCTGAATTGTTGCCAGGCTTTTCAAAAAATCCACGTACCTCTTGGATACTTCATGATGTTTATTTTAAATCTTGTTGCTACACACGCACTCCTTGTCCAAAACAACAGCTGTGCTGTGTGTGTAGGATTCAAACCTGCTAAGGTGATAGTTGTAACTTTCTCTGGTAGCAGAAATTAAGACAGAAAATTGCACTTTAGCTGGTAAAGTCTTTTCATGAAGCTTTAAAAAATACACTGACAGGACAAGTTCCCAATGTGAGCTGTGCTGACTGACAGTGTCCAAACTTGGGATTCCTCACCACAGCAGATGTGTTTGCTGGGAGTGTTGGTATCGATCTGCTGCCATCTCCTTACAGCAGTGCCAGTGTATTTATTATCTGTTGGATGAACCCAAAATGAATGGAGTCATGTAGGGACGTGCCCTTTCCCCTTTTGTCAATTTTTCCTTCCCTCTCCTTGTTCCTTTTTTTTTAAACCTCCAGTAAAAACCCCCGTGTTGTTAACGGGGAATAAACGAAATTGGCTCGTGACAAAATAAATTGATCTCCTCTGTTAACACCCTGAGCGTACCTTTCCTTGTGTTAAAGGTTTCCTATGCCCGCCCAAGTTCTGAAGTTATCAAGGATGCTAATTTATATATCAGTGGCCTGCCCCGGTCGATGACACAGAAGGATGTAGAGGACATGTTCTCCCGTTTCGGGCGCATCATCAACTCGCGCGTGCTCGTGGATCAAACCACAGGTGAGCTCTGGTGCCTTGGCTGCACTAAACTGGAGCATGTACGGCATGGTTAGTGGTTTTCTGACACTGGCAGTCCCTAAACTTAATTGAATTAGACTTCCACAAACTAACCATGACATCTGGTGTTAACCACTGGTGGAATTTTCACAGGATACCCTTGTCCAGGGGTTTGTTTTTTAAACAGAGAATGATTCTGCTGCCTCCTTTGCTAGCTTAGAGCCCAAGCCTTGGATCATATCAAAATAGGAACTGTCATTTTTATCAGCTGCTGATTTGCCAGATCTGCTCTCTTGCTCTGACACTTGCTGTCACTGCAGTGCAGTTGTGCTTCTGGGCCAGGTGTATAACCTGGAGTGTTGACCTTGCCTTGACTTCACACACATGCAGTTGTTGTCCACAGGCAAATTCCAGGCCACAGTTACAGATTTAAAAGCAAAACAATATGTTTTACCTTTTATACCATCTTGGAACTCACACGATTTTCTCATATTTTAAACCATTTGAGGTGTCTTCCAGGCCTCTGTGGTTACTGCTAAGCAAAAGAATGAGTTTTATACACTTGGTACTGCCCTGAAAGCTCTGAATGTATTTTGTTTATTTAAAAAAAAGAAAAGAGAAAGAAAAGCAAGAAGTTCAGTTAAGCACTTGGCTAAGGGGAGACCAAAGTTAAGGGTTTTTTTTAATGATGGTAATTGTGACTCTGTTACAATGTGTTTTCAGAGTTTAAATTTCTTACCTCATTATTTCAGACTGGGTAAATGCAGAGTCTGGCTTATCCTGTCACCCAGGTGTTCTGTGGCTTGTATGTCATGTATGAATCTGGGGAGAACTTATGCCTGTGCTGTGTTAGAATAGAAGATAATCTAATTCTAGCAATTCCACATTTAACCTTTATAACTGGAATATGTGCATTTATACACATTTATACACATCAGTTCAGCAGCAGCTTTCCTGCTCTTGAGGAATGTGCTGTAATTCCGAGTGGGCCCCCAGCAGGTTGTGGTGGGATCAGTGACTGCAGGCTGAGGGTCCCCAGCAGAGCCAGCTCCTGGGGCAGGAACTGCTTTGAAGTGTCTCCATCTGGTCAGAGCACGCTGTGAACACCACTGTGCCCAGGAGTCCCAGGTGACTGGGTGAGATCTGGGGACTGACTTTGTAGACACTGTGGCTGAGTGAGGAAAATCCCTTCCTTTCCTTCCTAGAGAGGAGGATTCATTTTGTCCAACTCTGATGCCTGCGTGGTTCTGTCTCTAGAGCTGATTGTCCACGTGGCAGCTCTAGAGAGAAGCAAGAAAAAGACTCGTGGAGCACAGCAAACTTATTAATGCAGGTGTCCAAACTAATCATCCCCCTCTGGCAGTCTGTGGGGTCTGGATAGCACCTGACTTTGACAGAGCTGTAAAATGAGATGGCAGAAGTCATACAGATAAAATCTCTTCCAGAATAATAGAATTTTCACAGGTGTGCTGAGGCCTGATGCTGTGTAATTCAGCTCAGAACACACCTCCTGCTTTCCAATAGCCTTAATGATGAATTAATTGAAGAATGGATTCCACATCACAAAGTTAATGCCTGCAGAGCCTGGGTTTGCTTTCCCACCAGGAATGTAGCTGTGGCTTTAAACCTGCCTTTGATATCTTGATCTAGTCCCACTTAGGACACATTTTGATTTGTACTTTTAGCTGTACCTTCCCACAGAGGTGGTTCTCTAGCTTTTTGAAAATTATTCTGTTTAAAAATACGCTTTCTACAATATTTATATTTTAAATTAATGCTGTGATAGATCAAATGAGAAGCACTAGGAAGAGCAGCATGAAAGTAGAGGAGTCACAGTAAGCTGAGCTCTGGGATAGGCCTTGCTGACATCTGGGTGATGCTGCTGCTCTGGGCCTTTCCAGGGTGGGCCAAGGCTTCCCCTGGCACAGGAGGCTGATCCCAGAGGCACCTGAGCATTTAGTGCTGTCAGCTCTAATCTGGGGAGCCCATCTGTTGTTCTTTATCAAAGTTCTCCCAGTGCCCCAGATGCAAACACACCTTGCTTGCTGCAGGCCCAGAGTTTGGCATGATGCACTTCCTTCTGTGAAACAAGGAAAGTGATCCTTAATTGTTATCAACAACCTTGTGATTTATGATAAGCTTAAATTCTGAAACTGGCTTTGAAGATTGCCCTGTGTGGGTGTAAAGAAAACATGAAAGTATCTGATGTGTCCCTTTCTGAAACAGAGCTGGTGAAATCCTACAAGTACTCTGCTTTGGAATGGCATTTAAACAAAATGTGCCCCTTTAGGTTCACTGTGATAAACCATGTTTTCAGCCTATGATCAAGTCACAGATGAGAATCAAGGGGAGGAGGGGAAGCTCACAGGGCATCCAGGGGCTGGGACTAGGAAAAAAATATCAGATGTTTAAAATATCCACATGTTAACCAGCTGTGAAATTGGTTCAGTGCAGTCACTAAGAGGTAATTCTTCATTGGTTTTAATGAATTAAAATAATGTATGTGCCAGCTAGAAATAATGAATGTGGTGCAGATGAAATTGTGATCTCTCCATTCTAAAAGGTGAAACTCCTTTATTACAGTCAGACCTTTGTTCCCTCATGTCTGAACCTGAGTGTGTTTCCAGGATGGAAAAATGAAAACATTTGCAAAAATGTGTCAATTCTGTGTTTGCAGATGCTTTTTAATGATAAAGTAATTGAAACTAAAGGGTTTGGGTTTGTTTTTAAGCAACTGGAATGAATTCTTTTGTTAAATTAATTTAAAATGTTTGGGGAGGTTTTTTTTATTAATGAAAATGTCAGTTGGTGATGAATTTCTACCACATTGTAGTTAAAGTGTTGTAGTCAGTGTGGTTGTTATAACTGAAATGAATGTGTTAATTTGTCCTTGGTTTCTTAATTTTGTACTTTATCCTCCAGCTGCTGAAGAAACGTTAGTAAATGTAGAGAACTTGAAAGCTGTGACCACAGAAATATTGAACTTTTTTGGTTTTTGTTTTCAAAGTTATTTTGAGTTTACCCTGAACTTCAATTTTTTTATTTTTGTTTTGTTTTGTTTTGTGTTTTTTTTTGTTTTCTTTTTGTTTTTTTTATTGGTTTGGTTACAAGGTTTGTCCAGAGGGGTCGCATTTATCCGGTTTGACAAAAGGTCAGAAGCAGAAGAGGCAATTACAAATTTCAATGGTCACAAACCCCCAGGTTCCTCCGAGCCCATTACAGTGAAGTTTGCAGCCAACCCTAACCAGAACAAAAATGTGGCACTGTTGTCGCAGCTGTGTCATTCACCAGCTCGACGGTTTGGAGGGCCAGTGCATCACCAGGCGCAGAGATTCAGGTAGGTTAGGGGGAATAAATGCATTTAAGGCTGTGCTCCTGTTCCCGTGTCCGTCTGGGAAGCTGGGCAGTGACCCCTTCACTGCAGCATGTGTGAATGAATCCGTAGTGCACTGTGTGTCCTGCAGTGTCATGTAAATAAAGTGTTGCATTAAAGTACGATTAAAGTAAAAATCTTACTTGTAACATTTATATTGAAGTTAGAGTGTGGAGGTACCTGCACCCCGGGGTCTGCTCCCACAGCTGGGTTACAGTGAGGTGTTGATAGGTGCCTGTCTCAACAGATCCCCATTCTGTGGTCTGAACACAGATAAATTGGCAACTTAATTAAAGCTCTGAACCGTTGGTTCCAGCAGGGACGTGTCATAGTAAGACAGGAAAACCTTATTTCTGATGAGGAGGTTCCATGGGATTCGTGCCTGCATCCCAATCTGGGCAGGGCTCTGCCTTCCCTCGAGGCCTCACGAGTTCAGTGATGAGAATATTGAGTGGCTGCAACATCCTGTCTGCCCCCAGGGCTGTGGAAGACACTGTGTTTTGCCTTTTGAGAATTGCCTTGGTTTCTTTTGAGTATGAATTGCTTGAATTGGGATTGCCTTGGATGCTTATGGAGGAAGCTGGTGGTTGGACAGTGCTCTGGAATATGTGGTATAGTGACAGATAAGCAATGGGCTTTGAGATGAGATTATGTTCCTGAGAGCTTCTGAGTGTAGTGTTTCCCTGTTGGGAGTATACTCTTTTTTTATTATTGTTTTTCTCCTCTGAAGTGTCCCGTTATAGACTAAAATCTCAGCCAGCTTTTTGCTCTGCTGCTGCTCCAGTGTTGCTGTACCTGTCCATCAGGCTGCAGCTCAGTGCTCTGAGCACACTCAGTGTCGTGTGTCCCCAGAGAGAATTGGTACTTTGCAGTCAGCTGTGGTGCTACACTGAGGGTGGTTGAACAGTTTACCTAAAGAGACCATGAAATGTCCATTCTTGGCTGGGATGGGCCTGAGCAACCTGCTCCAGGTGCCCTGCTCTGAGCAGGGGAATTTACTGCAGGATTTCCAGAGGCTCCTGCTCTCCTCCAGTCTCCTGTTCAGCTGTAGCCTGGGGAGGTTCAGTTCAGGCAGCTCCTTGTGTTCCTGAGACACTCATCCAGATCTCCACACCAAACCTCCTGTGCCACGCTGAGGAATGAAATTCTGAATTGTTTGCCTTTGAGTGAACTGTTAAAAAGTACATCTGTCCTCTGTCTCAGCCAGGGCTTCAGTGTGTCCTGGTCCTAGTAAAATCTTGAGGCTTATGGCTTGGTTTTTTCCTTCTTAATTTAATTGGACACTTTATTTGTCATTCTTCCCCTTAAAATTTATTGCAGAATTAAGATGTATCAGAAGAACCAGTACAAATAAAATTCACATCCATAATTAAGAGACCAAACAGCTTTAATTCTGTCCTGTAATGACCACTCAGGAGCAATAGAAATGATTAATGTCTTTATGCTAATATTGCTGGTGAAACTAGATTTTAATAACCAACCAGTTTGTTCATTATTCTTTTATTGCATCATTTAGAGCAGCATTAATGTCATTTGTGTGCATTTCATAGAATCCCAGAATGGTTTGGGTTGGAAGGGACCTTAAAGCTCATCCAGTCCCACTCCCTGCCATGGGCAGGGACACCTTCCACTCTCCCAGGTTGCTCCAAGCCCCGTCCAGCCTGGCCTGGGACACTTCCAGGGATGGGGCAGCCACAGCTGGTGTTTCTGTAGGTTCGAGGTGTCAGCAGGAGCTTAGATGGAAGAAAATGTTCTGCCTCTGTCTGTTCCATTCCTGCTGCTGTGGGAGCTGTGTCCCCCCAAGTTGTCTGTGCCCAGGGCTCATTTGTCAGCACATTTTGGCCCACTTTGGGTAGACCTGCTGGTGGGGAAAGAGCTGAACGTTTTGCAGTACCACAGACTGGCAGAGGCTGGAACAGAGCAGGTGTGGGTTAGGCTGTGCTGTCAGGAATACACTGTGGACACAAGATCCACTGGTTGACTTGGAAACACAGACTGTCCATCTCTGTCTTGTCACAGACTTGCAGGACCTCCAGCAGTTATTATAAAACCTCCTTCCCTCGATGCCCCGTGCAGGCACATATGTACACGTATGCACAACACTTGCACCATAGAATCATGGAATCATTAAGGTTGGAAAAGACCTTCAAAATCATGAAGTCTATCCCACAGCCCTTCGAATTCTTCTTTTCACCTTTGGTGTTAGCTGGAAGTTTTTCTATTGAGTCTTCCTTAAAAGATGTGAACTTAATGAGTTATAATTACTCATCCTGTGGTTAAACTCAAGAACCTGAGCTTGGGCTGAGTGTTGTTTGTTTTGGTGGTGAACAAGACATGATGAAAGATAAGCTGCTTCCACAGTGCACACAGTCTGTATAAATTAAAGTTGTGGTCTCTGCTCCACAGAGGTTGAATACTTAACCTGACATTTTGATTACACTTCGTCTCATTCCATCATAATCCCTGTAAATCCAGGATTAAGCCCTTAGTATCTAATTTGTAATTATTAATTTCCTACAGATATCACTCCAACCCTTTGTTTAATGTTCTGTTAATCCTTTGGAGTTCCTGTGGTATTTGTGGCTCACATCAGGAACTGGTCTTAGTGCTGTGTCCCCCTGGAGTGCTGGGCTGGCCTGCCAATTCTGAGACATGGGCTCTCTGCTTCCATGCAGGAGTGATGCCACGGGGTTGTGTCTGGAGGAGAGATAAAACATCTGGGCCAGGGGTTTCTTTTGAGCGTAAGATTTATTTACTTACACGGAATGGGAGATCTCCAGATGCTGAACTCTGATTAAATGGAGGGGTTTGGCTCCTGAAGTGTGAGAATGTGCCCAGAACCCCTGGAAGGCCTGTGCTTTTGCAGCTCACCAGGGCACTATACTAGAAGAACGTTCTTTCAAGTCTCAGATATTCCCAGTTCAGCTGGTTTTGCTTTCAGACTTGTTCAGGGTCAGAGCCAGTTCCCAGTTACTGTAATGCTCATAACTCTGTTGGTATCAGTCCACGAGTTCAGTCCTGAATGCCTGAAGGGAAGTAATTTCTGATAGCTCTTTGATCCAAGGGGAAACACAAGAAGACTCTGGAATATTTAACCCTGTAATTGGCATTATTGCTCAGAGAGCTCCTGCACGTCTGTTGGGTTTCACTCCGGTGAAATTGTTTAAATTTTCCATTTTTAGACCAGTTTGTAATTTGGATGTGAGTTGTCTGTGTTGAGAATGCTGCAGAAGGAACCATTTCATCCGGAGCAGTATTTCATCAAGGCTCTGGAAGAATGTGGGGCTGAAACCCCATTTGCTGCTCTTCTCCCATATGTGACTATTTGACTGAGCCCCTGATTTATTGCAGGCTTAGAGCTTGTACCAATTCTCAGTAAGATTTGTGTTGGCCACAGCAGGTCATTCCCATCTGTATCAGGGCAGAGCAGAAAAAGTTGCTTGTCAGAGGGACAGTGTCAGTGTAGCTGAACTCCTGCTCCTGGTGGAATTATTAAAAAATAAAAAGCTGCCAAGCTCATGTGTGAAATCATCATAGGCTGATATTAAAAATAACGTTCCTGCTTATTGGCATTATGGGATGGCTCCTCCTGTGATGCTCTGTGTGACTGTCCTTGGAGTGCAGTGAAAAGAGTTCAGCAAAACCCACATGAGGCTGTGCCAGGGGGGTTGGGATGGATCTCAGGGAAAGGTTCTTCCCCCACAGGGTGCTGGGGCACTGCCCAGGCTCCTCAGGGCAGTGGGCACGGCCCCAAGGCTGCCAGAGCTCCAGGAGCTCTGAAGGACAGGGTGGGATTGTTGGGGCTGTGCTTTGCAGGGCCAGGAGTTGGACTGGATGATCCCTGTGGGTCACTCCAAGCTCAGAAGTTTCTGTGATTCTATGAAAATAATTTATAGGATGGATGTTCAGAGACCTAAAAAGAATTGTTTTTCATTTAGGAGTGTAATTTCTGAGATGGTCCTCCAGTGTGTTAAAGTAGTTCCAGGATCTGTTGAGCACTGCAGTCTGTCTGTCTCATGGCAGAACAGCAAAAGGTCATTCATATAAACGAGAAGCTTATGAAATGAAAAAGGATTGCAATTAAAAGTACAGTGTGTTGATACTTAATGCCACAAGATGTTGGAGTTTTAAGTTAGCATTGCTTGAAAGAACCATCCATAGATAACACTGGCTACAGACTCTTAGGGAGGCTTGAAAAAAGCAATGTGGAGGAGACAGTATAAAAATAATTACAGCAGAAATGAGGACACCAGCAGTAAGTGTGATAAGACTGAGATCACTCAAATTACAATATTAATGGAATTTTAAAAACTCTTCCTCTGAAACATCTTGGATCTCTGTGGGACTTAGAGTTTGCCCAAATTGGACAGTCTTTTAAACATCCCTAATAAGTATAACTTCCTAAGGGTCATCTTAAATTGGTGTGGTCATAAAAATCTTTCCTGGTAGGACAGAGAGGTGTCAGCTGCTCCGAGCCTGGCTTGTCCAGGCTGTTGCTCCAAGCTGAGTGAGATGTCTGAGGTCCCTCATGTGCAGGGTGAGCACAGAGATGCATCAGATCAGCTGAATTGCATTTCATAGGGTTGTTTTTTTAAGTGACTTTTCAAATCTTTTAGGGGACTCTTTTGGTTTTACCATGTTTTGCTTGGTTCGTTTTTTTTTAAATAAACCTGTAATATTTTCTGAGTCAAGGCAGGAAGAGAGGAAAAATCTCTTTGAAAATGAGTGTATCCCAAGAGCTGAGGTACTTGCTATTTTCAATTATTTTGTCTGTGATGTGCATTTAGGTTTGTTGTGTTCTTGCATTTAACACCAGCTGCTCCTGTACAAGTGACTGCAGCCTTGGTGTGGTGTTACCTGGGCCCGTGGGCAGGGCCTGAGGCTTTGGAGCAGGCAGGATCAGGGCTATCCTGAGTGCTGGAACCAACGTCAGGCAGTTCTGAGCTCTGATTTGCTGCTCCCCCCTACATGTGAGCAGGACCCAGGACTGGTGATCTGTTGAGATGAAAACTTGCCAGATAATAAGATAAATCCATCCTACCAGATCATTACTCACATGGAAAGAAGCTACAGAGCTGAAGGTGTCTGTCAGAACAAGTAAGTGTATCAAGCATGCAAACACAGGAACATTTTTCTGCAAAGCCCAAATAAATAGCAGGTATGTCACCTAATCATCAGATCACACGGGTTAGTGCGTCTCATTCACCTTCTGATGCTTCTAACTGCTTTTTCAGCTTGACTGTAGTACAAGGATTCCCAAACTTGGATTTGCTTGGGGCTGGCCACCGGGGGTCTGTGAGCTCAGGTGTGTCCACACTGTGCCCCAAACCCCAGGCTCAGGGAGGCCCTGGGCAGTGAGGGAGGGATGGAGGGACCCCTGCTCTGGGGACAGGAGGGCTCAGGAGCTCAGGTGTCCAAGGCAATGAGCTCTGAGCCCCAGAGAGCCTGGGGAGGTGGGCCCTGAGTGGTTCTCGGGTGTGAATGGACAGGCTGAGCCATTCCCTGTGTGTGTGGGTGTGGGTGTGGGAGTGGGTGTCTGGGGGTGTGTGTGTGTCCTGCCACCCCTTCGCTCCCAATACACGCCCTTGAGCCCTCCCTCCTCGACAAAGGCAGCAGCAGCTCCTTGATGCAGGGCAAGAAAGAGTCAGTGGGGAAGTGTTTCGCACTTTACTGCCCAGACATCCCTTCCCTGTTTCCTCCAGGTCAGCAGAGAATCAGAATCTGCCCCCACCAAGCTCTTGGCAGAGAGCAGCTCCTGTACCACCTCTAAGGGGTTTGCGTGTCACCAGTGGTACAAGTCAGTTTGGGAACCCCTGGTAGAGTATCATTATAATTCTATGTGACCTCACATTTTTAAATAATAAATAAGCACAAGGGTTCAAAGTGAGTTTTTCACCTTAACTGTCACATTTCCTGATCTTTGAGTGCTTAGCTGTGCAACCCTAGTATTGCCCTAAAATATTCAGAAGCTTTGAATTTCTAAGGTGGAGGAAATAGAATAAAGGGGAATTAGAAATGTGGGTTATAGGGAAAAGAAATTAATATAAGGCAAGACACAGAAAGGAGAGGTTTTTCAGGTTTTTGTTATGTATAAATCCTGCTGGGGTACTATGCAGGAGGCAGGGTTCAGGAGGAGTGAATATGGGTGATTTTAAAAGTCCAGTTCAGTAAAGTCGCATCTAAGTTTTCCTGGTACGAAGTTGATGTAAAATTAATAAAACCATCCATGCATACTGAAATTGTAAAACTGTGCACTGAGCCTGCTCGTGTTGGGAGTGTTTGCCTGCACCTGCTGCCTTTGGGTGGAAAGGGAGTAGGTTTTGTTCTGTTCCACAAAACGAGAAATTAGTACACACAATCTCTACTCCTAAAAACCAAGCACACCCATCCCCTGCCCCAGCAAACCCAAAGAAACCATTTGACTTTAGAGTTCCCAACGTGCTATTTTAGAGGCAAGAAAAGGAGGACGAGGGAAAAAACCTCCCTGAGTGAAATAATTGGGAGATGCCTGTGGCCTCTGGGGAGGTGCTGCCTGTGCCCCCCACTCGAGCAGTTCTGCACCGATGCCCTGGGCACTCTGAGCAGCCTGGCTGAGTTCAGAGATCATCCAGGCCCCCTGGGAAGGTGATCACATAACCTTGCCTTGCCTGTTCCTTGCCTATTTCTAAGGATAGTTCCCTGTTGATAAAGCAGTTGGAATTCTTAACTTTCTTTTTCCTGGCAGCTGTTGATTTGATTGTCAATATGAATGGGGAAACATTTATCTGGCGGTTTTGATGTCCATGTAGAAAATATTCATTCTGCGTTGCTTCCCATTCAAGTTAATTTGCTTAATTGAATTGAATTGTGCTTTTTATTTGCTAGGTTCTCTCCTATGGGTGTAGATCACATGAGTGGGCTTTCTGGTGTAAATGTTCCAGGAAACGCATCTTCTGGCTGGTGTATCTTCATCTACAACCTTGGTCAAGATGCTGATGAGGGAATCCTCTGGCAGATGTTTGGCCCCTTTGGTGCGGTTACCAATGTGAAAGTTATTCGAGATTTCAACACCAACAAGTGCAAAGGTTTTGGTTTTGTGACCATGACAAACTATGAAGAAGCTGCAATGGCCATAGCAAGTCTTAATGGCTACCGCCTGGGGGACAAAATCTTACAGGTTTCCTTCAAAACCAACAAGTCCCACAAATAACTTGCTCGTGCTTTTTGTATGGAATAGATAATGGAGTGACAGAAGTTGAAACATTTTTGTTAGTGTAAAACTCATTTTGCGCCAATTTTCACAAGTGTTTGTCTTAGTCTAAATGAGAAGTGAAAAGGTTTTATATTCTGGGATGCAACTGACATGTTCAAATGTTTGAAATCCCACAATGTTAGACCAATTTTAAGTTCCTTTAAGTTATTTCATTTAAAACCTGTTAAAAACCCCCTGAAATCTTGAGTAGATTGCATTAACTAGACCCTCTGGATGGTGGTAAAATTGAAGCATGCTTTCACTTATGAGACTAACATTTGTTTCATTGAATGTTGTCTGCAAAAACTGGAATTTTCTGAAAAAATATCAGGCTGAATTCATTAATTTTCTTGGGTTTTATGTTATTGTTTTTCCTACCCGTCCCCATGTCCTTTCCTTCTCCCCCCTCTCCCCCAGTTTCAGTAGTATGGAAGAAAAGTTGAGAAATACTAATGTTTTAGTTGACAGTAAATTGTTTGATCAATTAATATTCATAACTGTGTGTCTAGTTGAGGATCAGGCTTTTTAAAGTCAAGGTCTTGTAAGTAGTAGCATGCCAGCCTAACTTTAACACCATTGGGGAGGTAAGTTGCACACTGAGCAGTGGCCGAGCTGTCCAACTCACAGGTTGTAGAAACGTGACTTTTAAAGCCCACTTTGAGAGGAATGGACCAAAGAGTTTCAAAGAAACTCCGGGAAGATTTCAGAGTCAAAATGAAACTCCAAAAAAAGCAAGTGTGAATATATGTTGCTACTTTATCAGACTGAATCTCTTCTGTCCAAATATTTAATGCATGGTGCACTACTTACTGGTACATTATAATGCAGCAAGATACTTACTCATTTTCCAAGATCATTGTAGTTGGAATTCCTTTGGCAGTTCTATTTTGTTAAGAAAAACCAGTTATAAACATTTGAGCATTGTATTTCTCGCATCCCTTCTAATGAGTGCTAGATTTTTCTATTTTATTAGGATTTTGTTCTGACAACTAGCTTTACTTATTGAACACTCAGCAGAAAAGTACTTACGACTTGCAAGTTAGATATTAACCAAAAAAAAAAACCCTTTGATTTGTAGATTTAAAGATTAATCCCCCAGGTTTTCTGCAGACTGCCTTGAAACTTTGAGTTGTTCTGTTTCTGTTAATTTTCTTTTGCTTTTTTGTGTTTTTTGTTTGTTTTTACTTTTGCATTTAAGAACATTAAATTTGATTTTGTTTTGCTCAAATTTTGTTTTGTTTTTTATTTTCTGTTCTTTTTTTGCTAAGTATTGCACAGAGTGTCCAGCTTTCAGAGTGCTGTTTTAAAGAACCGTAGCTCCTCCTTAAGAGAATTTTAATTTACTGCTTTGCCAGATGAGTAGAAGAAACAGAGTTGTGAAACGAGCACTACAATGGATGTGCCACAGACTGACGTGACCCTCAGGTGTTCTTGGGTAGGAAACCTGGAGAGGCTGACCCTGCCAGGTACAGGTGTGTGAGGTGCTGTGCACAACTAGAGACTCGGCCACTTTCAGCTCTGGTGCTTCTGTAGGGAGAACAGATGTGAAAACGGGGTCTGTGGCAGTTTAATGCAGTGTCTCCTTGGTTTGCCTCTGCCAGCCCCAGAGTTTATTCCCAGACTCCAGAGGCCATTCCGTGCCGCCTGCTCGTCTCGCTCCATCCCAGCTGCCCTTGCCTCGTGCTTGCCGTCGTTCCTCCTCTCCCCCAGTGGGACCTGCAGTCCTGCACAGCCCCAGGGCTCCCTCAGCCTCTGCCTGGGGCCACCCAGGGGCTGCTGCCCAGCTCCAGTGGGGACCTGGGGGAGCTGCTGGTGCTTCTGGAGCTGCCTGGGACACACCCAAACCCTACAGATAGGCCTTGGCCCAGCCAGCAGCCTCCTGCTTGGTCTGAGCTTGTGTGCAGTGAATGCAGGTGGGATTTTTCCTGTTAAAACATCCAGCCTTGCCTCTCCTGCCAGTCTGTTCACTCTCCATCTCTTGAGAAGCAAAATGGGCTGTGAAACAGTGACTGTGACACAGCAACCAACCCACTCCCACACCCCCAGTTGTGCTCTTGACTGTCTGTTCCAGAGGTTCCCACCAGTTTGTTGTCATCATTTATTACATCAGTGAATGTTTCTTTTCTGTGTATGAGGAGGGATTGGGAAGCACCCAGGGGCTTCTCCCAAGTTAAAGCTGTGTAGTACAGAGAAGTTCTCTTACTGTGTCCCACCACCACTGACCCCTGCACTGTCCTGTTCCACAGGAGTGGGCTGCAGTCATTCCCAGTTCCTGTCGTTCTCTCTTGCCTTGTTCCATTTAAGATAAATTTTCAAACTAAATGGGAATTACTGTTTATCACAGCATTTAGCTGGGGGTTCAGACTTTGAGGAATGACCCCTAAACATGGCTCTGCATCAGTGCTGGTTCCAAGCACACTGGCCGTGGCAGCAGCACATTGCTGTGGGCTCGCCAGCTGCCACTCAAAAAACAACTTCTCTTGGATGCTTTTTGGCATCACTGTCCCTTCCTTTTCCACTGCTTCCCTACTTTTTCATCTCTCCTTCTTTGCTAAGTAAGAAGGAAATGCAGGATATGGTTTTGTACCACTACTGCATAGTACAGTACTTTGTACTGTACTACTTTTAGGAAAGGTCTGTTCCCAGCTTCCTTTGATAATTGCTTTGAAAATAATTTCTAGGTGATTAGTATGAGGAAAGCACTGCTGCTTGAGTCAGGAAAAGAGGATAAAATCCTGCTGAAATATTCAGAGCTGACACCAGGAGTAGTGTATGATCTGCACTGTTTCAACAGTCGGTAGATCCTTGGCATAAATAGCTGTGTATATATTCTTGATGGTTTTGGTCCTCAAGAGCAACCTGTGCATCCCACTAGTAAAGACCAAAGGGAAACTTCTGGAGGTGGAAACTAAATTTTAACAAGACATCTGCCACCAGTTTTTCTGCCCAAAAGTTAGAAGCAACTGGTGTCCTCACCATGCCATCCAGCAGACCCTGCTTTGAAGCTCTCACTTGAACAGACCTGTTTCAAGAGAGGTTTTGACCTCTTAATTGTCAAGGAATGTAGAAAAACTGTGGATATATTCTGCTTTTTCATCCCTTAAATTGACAGAAGCCAGGTGTTTCTGTCAGGTGACACTTCTGTCTCAGTCAGTGCTTGCAGGATCTTTGTAGAACCAAGGGGCTGTCTCAAAGCAGAGGTCTCTCACATTCCTCATGAGAAACAGTGTCTCAGGTAGGGAATTTTGAAAAGTCTTCGTTGCTGGATTAGGATGATCAGGTTTTGAAAACCTAGATTTGTTGGTCTGTACTGGAGATGTGCTACAGGAACAGCTGCAGTGGGAGTGTTTTGGGATCCTTTAGAGCAGATAAGGAGCCTCTCTGGACAACTCTGGGTGTAGCTTCTGAAGGACCAGGTGTAATTCCTGATGGAAACACAGTTGGCCATGCTGCTGTCACTGGGTCTCCTGTACAGATATCGAAGGGAGTTCCTACATTTGCTTCCCAGCTGTCCACATGAATGGAATTCATCCTGTGCAGAACACTGGCCGTGAGCCTCATCACAGCCTAAACCTCCTGTTAGCAGACAGGGAAATTCCACATAAACATGGAAGAGGAATCTCATGTTGCTGAAGGTGCTTGGTATGAGCTGGCAGAGGCAAGTGCAGATCCTTCAGGTGATGAGGGGGTGGCAACACCCGAAATCCAAACAGGAGCAGAATCAGTGTGCTCAGTTCTCGGTGAGTCCCTGTTAGATGGTGTCCATGCTCTCAAGTGTTGGATTTATTTTGTTCTTCAAGCTGCATCATCATAAGGTTTGGTTTACTTTAGCTGCTTCACTCTTTTGAGAGAGGGAGGGGACTGACCAGTGCAGTTCCTGTCACCTCCTGAGCCCAGCTTGTGCCAATCCCTGTGCCTGTTCTAGCCCTGGGACTGGGAAGGGCTTGAGGATCCAGCTCTTAGGATGGAGGGAGAAGTCACCGTCCCCACAGTGGTGTGTGACCACAGAGCTTTTCCTTCCCTTTGCTTGGATATGATTTTTGTACATCTGTATCATGTGAGCATGAAACCCACTGAAAATCCAGAGCTCCACAAGTCACTGGAGCAGGATATTCTCACCAGTTGGTCAGTGTGGGGTCACTTACCCTGTCCAGATGACCAAAGGGTGCCTGTATGGAGAGGACACCTATTTTTTAGGGGGTTGAACGTTGTAGTAATGTTATTTATATACAAAGCAGTTAAAAATATAAAAAAAAAAATTGGCATAGCTCCATTTGTCCACCAGTCAAAACCAAAATTATGACCTAGCTGTAAAGGTAACCTGTTATTTTAAGGCTGAATTTGGAAAATGAATATCCTTAAGGTCCTTAAACATCTGTTATAATTTCATGTTGCTTTAATGTTCTGGGTAAGGTCAATAAAGTAGAAATTCTTCAAATATTCAGGAGAGATTTTTGTTTAGAGTGTACTCTAAATATTAATAACTCAAGTTCCTTTTTGGATAGTCTGTCATTACATATGTGCTTTTAAAAAAAAAACAACTTGGAGAATGTCCCCACGTTTACTTTTTTAACACAATAAACAGGTCATATAATAAACTGTTCATTCAGAGTAGCTCCTCTGATAGCTCTGCCTGCAGAGCATTAGGGTGTTTGGGAGGCTTTTTTGTGAGCTGATGGCAGCCTGATGGTTCAGTCCTGTAACTCAAACACGGAGCGGTTTGTCCCCTCTCAGAAGGTCACTGTGTTTTTGATTTCCATAATGAAGAAATGTGTCCTCTATAACTCTGTCAGTGAAGCACCTTACTGTTACATTTCTACTTTTAGGCACCTAAGAATAGCTTTAGAGGGAAGGGACCAAATCCACCTTTAGCATAAGGAAACCCCAACCCCCTTGAGTTCCCTGAGTGGAGCTGCACTTGTGTTTTGGGTTTTTTTCCATTTTGGTTTTTTGTTGCCCCAGAGCTGAATTTGCCACCTGAGGTACTTTAATCTCCATTTGGAAGCAGGAGAGTCTTTCTGTGCCGTAGGCAAGTTCCTCTGACGTAGCTCTGCACTTCTCAAGGTGGGATACTCAGCACAATAGGACGGATAAATCCAGAGCTCGAGAGGCCAGTGCTCGAGAGGCCAGTGGTTGTTCTCTGTGATTATTACACCTTATTGGGTTTCTGCTTATTAAAGAATAAAAAAAAACCCGTGGAATTCATAAAAAAGGGGTCTCAGTTTCCTCCCTCCCTCTTGGAAGAGGCGGTACCTCCGTGACAGCCAGCGGGACTGAAGGTCGCCGTTCCTCTCTAGGTGCCCGCTCGTAGGTTGATCAGGTGCGGCGGCGTTTGGGTGGTCGCCCTTCTGTGGCAGCCTCGGGGAGTCGAACAAAAACCAAACTCCAGACGTTGCTTTCTCTCCTCCTGCATGATTTAAAACCAGTCAAAGCCTTTATGGTCTCTAAAACAAACCCCAACCCCTCCACCCCGCCGTGAGCGGGTTTGACGTTCGACCCTGGTGGTTCGTTCTGGATCACGCTTGGTCCAACAGCAGCGAAGGTTTAGAGATATTTTTCTGTTGAGTGGAATTTTCAGCACCGAAATTCTCTTTTGTTGCTAATGATGGGAAACCAGTAATGGTAGAACTGCCACCTGAAACCTTGGAAAATTGCTTCTGTGTTCACATTTTAGCATCTCAATATTCTCCTACTGTTGTTCCTTATTTTTAAACATTTTTGAGCAAGTTTTTGGTGGAATGGCTGAACTTTTTCACTTGGTCATTGAGAAGAAAATGACTTGAGACATTTGAAACATAAGTTGAGATAAACCTTTATTTGACAAGTAATTTGAATAATACTGTACTTCTAGTCTTTTTATTGATTTCCTTTCCTTTAACTTATGTAATCTTTTGTTTATAAATTAATCTGTTTGTGGGACAGAAGGTTTTATCAATTGCTTTCCATACTGTACAGTATATGGTTACACATTTTGTATATTTAGTGTGTTTTTAAGTTATTGATTTGTTTTATATCAAATAATTTATTTTTCAGGTACCATTTTCATTTAAACTTTGTTTTTACATGGGTTTATTTTAAATAAAGTATGACACTGCTTTCCAAATGTCTAAAATGAAGTTGAATCCCATTGTGTTATTTTGAGATGACTTATGTAAATTAACTTATTTTAGAAATAACTGCAGAAATGTACCAAGTTCATACTTTGGTTGTGCTTCAGTTCAAG